CTGAGCGGTACCCAGTATCCCGGAACCCCAAATAGAAGACTCAGCATCAATTCTAAATCAAATCCGAAAATGGGGTTTGCACTTTGACGGGAAAGATCCCCTCTCATTTCTGGAACGGGTAGAAGAGCTCAGTACCGCATACGGGTATGATGGGTTACGCTTACTAACTGGCCTGCCTGAATTATTACGGGGCGATGCCTTATTATAATATAGGAATTGTCGGGCCTCCTCGAATACCTGGGAACAGTTCTGCGAAGATCTAAAAGACCAATATCTGCCCCGCGGGTACCAGTGCCAATTAAGGCGAGAAATCCAACGCCAGAAATAACAATCCCATGAGCGGTTCCGGAAATACGCCACCGTTATGACAATGATGCGTAGAGCAGGTGGCTATTCCACCCAAGAACAGATTGATCAGCTGTATGAAAATTCTGATCCGGATTTTCAACTCTACGCGCGAGTTGACGAAATAACTACTCTGTCCGAGCTGTTTCGTCGAGCCGCGGAATACGAGACCATTAACCAGCGCCGCAAGAATTGCACAAAGAAGACTAAGAAAACTTCTGAGGCCAACGTGGCCACCGTTCAATATGATCGTAGCACTTGCTGTTGGCGCTGTAAACAACGAGGACACACTCGCCTCGATTACAAACGCCCTCCTAAGAAATTTTGCTCACGTTGCGGAAAAGATGGTGTCCTGACTCGGGATTGTCATCCCCCGGCGGGAAACGACCCACGGGTTGGCGACAAGGCGGCTGAGCTCCGACCCGTTTCCGAATAAAGTACACGCCGCGACCGCATATCCAGCATATACATGCCCATGGTGTTACGATATGGGCACTAATTGACTTCGGGTCCGAGGTCTCGTTTATCAACGCCGAGACTGCCGAAAGGATGGAGGCAGCCGGACAACCAATACTAAACGTGGAGGAACCGATAATTTTAGCCGACGGAACTGAGGCCACGGTAAGAGCGGTCGCTGATCTTGCGATAAGGGTCGGAGGAATCAGGGTCGACCATCGATTCCGGGTCGTACCGACATCCCGAAGTACCATGCTCATCGGTACTGACTTATGGGCCAAATTGGGAATAACCATACCAGCCCCACCGCTTGACCAAGTTACGTCTGCGCCACAGGTAGCGGCTACCACTGGCGATATCTCGACGGGAATCACTCCCCGATCTCGGGTGGAGGACCAGCAATTCAGACAATTCCTAGAGGAGAAACTACGGAAATTCGAATCGGTCCAAGGTCACACTGACCGTATTACACACACTATCCGTTTAAAACCCGGTCCGCCGATTAAGTAAAGGTACCGCCCTAGAAACCCGGCAATGCAGGCCGTGATAAACGCCAAAGTAGATAAAATGCTGGAGACCGGAATTATAGAACCCTCCAACAGCACGTGGAGCTCTCCAGTGGTCTTGGTAAAAAAAAAGGACGGGGCTTTCCGTTTCTGTATCGATTTTCGGAAACTAAATCAGGCCTCAGAAAAGGACGCTTATCCTCTGCCACATATCGCGGCGACGCTGGATAAGCTAAGAGGGGCCAAATACCTCTCCACGCTCGATTTGAAGGATGGGTATTAGCAAGTGCCCCTCGAATCCGACAGCCGACCCGCTACCGCATTTACGATTCCGGGACAGAGCCTCTTACAGTTCCGCGTGATGCCATTCGGCCTTCATTTTGCGCCCGCCACCTTCCAGCGACTCTTAGACAACGTCATAGGCCCCGATCTAGACCCCCACGTACTAATATACCTGGACGACATGATCATCGTTGTCGTACTTTTGAGGAACACCTGGCGCATCTAGAGGAGGTCTTCCGTCGACTACGATAGGCTCGACTACAGCTAAATATCGATAAATGCCATTTCTGTAGAGACCGCTTGAAATACTTGGGCCATATCATAGACCGGGAGGGGATCCGAACCGACCCTGATAAAGTGAGCGCTATAAATAATTGGCACGCGCCGACCACCGTCCGCCAAGTCCGACAATTCCTGGGGATGGCCTCGTGGTATCGGAGATTCGTGCCGAACTTCTCTGTCCTCGCGGCGCCACTAACGCGACTCACTCGGAAAAGCACCCGATTTATCTGGCTAATGAAGAACAGAGCGCTTTCGAACGGATAAAAAAGGTGCTCACTACGGCCCCGGTCTTTGCCTGTCCCGATTTCGACCGGCCCTTTGTCTTACAAACCGATGCCAGCACCCATGGCCTGGATACCGTCCTCACCCAGAACCTAGAGCAAGGGGAGCGCGTAATCGCCTACGCGAGCAGAACGTTGAACCAAGCCGAGAAAAACATAGTGCTACCAAATTAGAGTGCCTAGCCGTAGTATGGGCAATCCGCCGCATGAGAAACTATCTCGAAGGGTATCGGTTTACAGTCACCGTAGTAGTCACCGACCACCAATCGCTAAAGTGGCTACAACGACTCGAATCTCCTACCGGTCGCTTTGGGAGATAGATGTTCGAATTACAACAATTCGACTTCGACATCCGATATCCAAAGGGGGCTCTAAATAAAGTAGCCGATGCTTTTTGTCTCGACAACCCGAAAGTAACGCTGTCCAGAAGGTCAAAGGGTGCCCTTGGTACCAGCAGATTTGTAAGGGCGTGCAGGAAAACCCGATGGATTACCCAGACTTCCGGCTGCAAGAGGGCAAGCTATACCATCACGTCCTATATAGCCTGAATTTCCAAGAAACTCCTGCTCACGAACAATGGAAACAGTGCATGGCTACTCCGGACCGACCAGAAATATTGCGCCGATTTCACGACGACCCGACCGCCGGCCATCTAGGAATTTTGAAAACCCTCGCACGGATAGCCCGCTTATATTATTGGTCCGGAATGTATCGAGACATAGCCCGTTACATACGAAATTGTTCGAATTGCGCTGCTCATAAGGCCTTACAACAACTACCCGCGGGACGATTACACGCTACTAATATCACCGCACCCTGGCAGCAAGTCTCTATAGACTTAATAGGCCCACTGCCACGCTCCTCCCGGGGACATACCTGGCTGCTCTCGGCACAAACCGCTTTTCAAAGTGGTTGGAGTTAGTCCCATTGCGCCAAGCCACCGCTGACAGCGTAGTAAAAGAAGTCGCGAATCGCGAATAATATACCGTCACGGATGCACGGACGTATTAGTATCCGATAATGGCACCCAGTTCAAGTCTCGGCCATTCAAAGAACTGCTCAAAGCATTCGGTATCACTCATTGTACCGCGCCGGCCTATACTCAGCAATGTAATCCGGTGAAAAGGGCAAATCGAACAGTTAAAACCATGATTGCACAATTTGTAGGAAAGAACCACCGACATTGGGATGGGAACATACCCCAGCTACAATTCGCTTTCAACACGGCCAAACAGGAGGTCACCGGATATACCTCTGCATTCTTGTTGCACGGGAGGAAACTTGCGCTTCCACACCCGGACGACCGGCGACCGCCCCAAATTCCCACCGCTCCAGAAACCGTCCGTCAAATTCTTGAAGACGCGTTCGAGGTCGTACGCATCAATCTTGCCCGCTCGTTCAATGACAACAGCGACATTACGATCTGCGCAGGCGCGACTGGCGACCGCGAATAGGGGACCGCGTATGGAAACGGGACCATCCATTATCCGACAAATCGGAGAGTTTTAACGCTAAACTAGCGCCGCGTTATCTAGGGCCAATGATCGTGCGCAAAATTATTTCCCCTGTTATGTAGGTGGCACCGTCGCATACATGTGCGCGATTTAAAGAACGCACCCCCGAGCATTAACCAATAGGGGATCCGCCCGGCTATTGCCCCCACCACTCGGGCCGGCCCAGCAGAGTATATAAGGCGAGCACATGCAACACCGATCAGTATTCGATCGTCATGTCCGAACGAAGAAAGTTATCTAGAGAGCTCTTTGGTTAGGTTAGCAACTCTGAGGAGTCTTTCGAGGAAGATAGATCGGTGAGGAAAAGAAGAGAGTGGAAGGAAGAAGAGCGCCGACTATCACCGAAACCAGGGACTCGGGTACAACGGTCGGACCGCGACCAGGCTCGGAAGGCGGCCATCGTTTTGGCCGAGCCACCGCCACCACCACCACGCGCACGAGGAGCCTCGGCCACCGCACCACCTCGTCAAGGGCCCGCCCGTCGATTTCCAACCTCGACGGCAACGAGTGCCGCGACCGCGTCGCCACCACCTCCGGCCATCCCGGTCTGCGCGGTTTCAACGCGGACGACCTCCGACCCGACCCTGCCTCCGCCGGTCCGGATCCACCTGTCGGACGGCGAGTCCGCAGAGGTCCCGCATTTTGCCGCTCATAAGACCCGAAAGTATCGGGTACGCACGACAACGGGGCGTTGGATGGTCCGGTTCGACCACCGAGGCCACCAACGCTCCGTTAAGCGGTTACCGCGATCTTTCCCCATAAAGCAGGGGAGTGGTGTGACGATCATATGATAATCATAGATCGTTATAATAACATTCATAGCATTAAAAATATTCATTATAAATATAATTTTCATTCAATTTTTAAATTTAATAATCTAATTTTATTAATGATCATATAATATTAAATATATAGATCATATATTTCGAGAATAATTTTAAAATGTATCGTTCTTGGTAATATCTCTTATGCCCGATTTCACCAACCGCGTTTAACTTTAATTTTAGTTTAACTCACTCGTTATCTTTTTCTAACTCTTTCTTTAGAAAGAGACAAAGAGTGAGTTGAACTAAGATTAAATGCGGTTGATGAAATCGGGTATTAAAGAGATACAATAATATACAAGTAAAATAATTGTTAATTTACAATATTATTGTTCAAGAATCATTATCTAATATAACACTGCTTGAAAATTGAGTAAAACCAATAGAACAAAAAATAACTAAATTAATAAATTCTAATTACAGAATTCAATATCGAAATATTTATCACAAAGTTATAATACGCATGAGTCTTACTAAAGCTTTAAAATGGAAGTAGGTTGAAGTTTTTAACGAGTGGATTTATATTGTTTGCACGACCAGAATCAGTTTAGATAATTGATTTTTAATGAAAATATTGTATAATGACACCTTTGAAACAACTTGATGAAAACATCTAGTATAATTCACAAAATCGAAAATTGCTATTATATATGTTGTCTATCAAGCATTATCTAATAACAAGTATTTTGCATAGCAAATCTGCAATCTTGTGTCTTTTTTTCATCTTTAATTTTATTCTTATAAATAAAAGAGATAGCATACAAAGATGTGAAAAAGAGATAGCATACAAGATGAAGAGAGAAAAAAAACTGCAAATTATAAAATGAAGAATAGTACCGAAAGCAAAACCCGTCAGACATCTAAAATTTACAATGACTATTATAGCATCACACATTCTGCTTTCAGAGATTTCTGGAGTTTTTCGGCTTTTAGAACAAAAAATAATCTGTCGAATAAATCTGATAATACAAGCCTTTATTCCGCATTCATATGTAGCCACGATTTCGCGAGAAGCGAAGTCTCAGCTTCCTAATGTCTATGCGACATTATTAAACAACATCCGCTTTTCCTAATTTCACCTCTCTCTTTCTTTTCCTGCAAGATACACCGGGTCCATCTCCGGTACGTACATGCTACCTGAAAGGAGGAAGGACTACTTTTTGCTATACTTTTAAAGCACAGTGCAATCAATGCGCTGGTTCCTTTTTGAGTACCCCAGGAGCAACGATTATGACATCGAGCATGTTTCCAAGGTCGAGCTGCTCTCTTGTTGCATCTAGATGTAAGATTAGATATTAGGATGGTACCCCGAGAATACGCGCGATATTCGTCTGCCGCAGAAGAGAAAAACGATTGATGGTGGATGGCCCTTTACTCGGGGGCCGTAAGCAAGTCCTAGGCCAATTGCCTTTTCGTCTTATTGTTAGCCTCACTATAAAATTCCGATGCCGCATTGGTACTACGTCGTTACCGTAACGGGTCGGAAATGTCGTGTCAACACATATACCACCGCTTCGTACGTTGCCATTATGATGGCAGTGTTTGGAATTTGCCGGATCAACTGGGTACCGAGGCCACGGTAGAGACTTTTTGTGCCCTCCTCTGCCCATACAGTGCTCAGAGTTTGCCAGAACGCGCGATATTTCGTACCTTCTTCTCATAATCGGGTTCTTGCTGCTACTTCTGAAAATGATAAGAAATTATACCAATATCTTTTTGATTGTACCTACATCTAATTCACATGCAAAAATGATTATCAAAAATTTAATTTGAGAAATTATCGATGAGAAGATTTATAATTTGTAAAAAATTAATTAAAATTATTATATATTAATTAATTGTATTATAATCATTTATTTAAATTAAAATCTTTTGATCAGAGTAATTTCTCTCTCGAATGTTTCTCTTAATTTTTCAGATTAGAATTTTAATAATTAGATATATATATATATATAGTTATATATATATATATATATATATATATATATAGTTTTATATATATATATATATATAGTTATATATATATATATATATATATATATATATATATATATATACACAGGGTGGGCCATTTTAAGTGATCCACTCAAATATTTCGGAAAATAATGAAAAATCAAAAAAATGTTTCAGATAAAAGTTGTATGGCTTGAAGGGGGCCATCAGATAGTGGCAATGATTTGACCTTGGAGAGTCATTTGAAGATGACGTAAAGGTAACCTTCAATTTCTTAAATGGAACTCCCTATTTTTTATTACATATTCGTGTAGCTTATCTCGAGAGCTTTCCAAAACACTATAATAAAGTATTTCTTCATTGAGTACTTTTTGAGTTATGAGGCTTGAAATCATTTCTTAATTTTGTATAAACCGTAAAATATCTAGTAAAATATTCATTTTTCGATTATCTTGCTTTAATATTTTTATGTACAAAATAATGAGAGGAATCAATTGGTGTAAAGAAAACACATAGTTATTTTTAAGAAAAAATATGTAATTTGCAATTAACAATTACATATTTTTTCTTTGAAACAATTATGTGTTTTTTTTACACCAATTGATTTCTCTCATTATTTTGTACATAAAAGTATTAAAGCAAAATAATCGAAAAATGAATATTTTACTAGATATTTTACGGTTTATACAAAATTAAGAAATGATTTCAAGCCTCATAACTCGAAAAGTACTCAATGAAGAAATACTTTATTATAGTGTTTTGGAAAGCTCTCGAGATAAGCTACACGAATATGTAATAAAAAATAGGGAGTTCCATTTAAGAAATTGAAGGTTACCTTTACGTCATCTTCAAATGACTCTCCAAGGTCAAATCATTGCCACTATCTGATGACCCCCTTCAAGCCATACAACTTTTATTTGAAACATTTTTTTGATTTTTCATTATTTTCCGAAATATTTGAGTGGATCACTTAAAATGGTCCACCTTATACATATAGGTATATATATATATATATATATATATATATATATATATATATATATATATAGTTGTATAACGGTGAAAGATTCTTATACAAGAGTTTTTATAATGACAGTGATATGGTTTTATTGCTATCTGAATAAGTACAAATAATACAATAAAAGTGCAATCAAAACATGATGAAATGATAAGATTGATTTCTTTTTGTAATCGTAACGATCATAATGATGAACAAATAATTCGTTAATATAATGGCACAATCATTTCTGAATAAAAGTGCTTCCTTTTTATTTAATGCACCAATGTTTTGCAGGAAACGTATGTAATCTGTGTATGATAATGCATGCTGATTTGCAAAATAAGTTTAACTCGAATGCAGCATGATAGATGAATATTATTTTTGCAAACAAAATACTGAAATGTCACAAACATTCGTAAATAATATTCAAAGCATAAATTGCATATTGAGTGCCTGGCATGAGTGCGAATAGCGAATAGTTCGTGTTATCTTTAGACCAACTCGGAGTAGCTTCTCTGCAAGGCAATGATACAAAAAGAAAAGTATGTACTATTTTTCAATAAAATTAAGATATTATGCAGTTATGTTTTATAATTTATCTACATTATTAAATACAGGAAAACTCAATGCAATGAAAATTAAAATATCATTTGTTATCAATTCTAAAATGTGATAATAGTCTAGATTCTAAATAAATGCACAAAGATCACTTCTTTCAATATTTATGCCATTTATAATTTCAAATAATCAATGGATATAACTCTTTTCATTTATACAAATTATAAAAAATTGTTAAATATTGTTAGAAATTAAATGAGTTATTTGAATAGTAATATCAACATATTAGATAAGCAAGTAACTAAGTAACTAGTAAATACACACGAAAAATTGAAAACAAATTTAATTAATGCGGATACATGTGGATTTATAGCGTAGTTACGAATTATTTTACCGTGAGGATAGGCAACTGTTGATGCTATCGTTTTCGAAAACGATCCAGACGCCATAAATTCAATGAAATTGCGGAACGTCTTCCTGTCATCTGCCTGGGAAGCTCGTGATCTGTGCGTGGCTAGCTATGCTTTCACTGCTTCGTATATCACAAAGTGTATCACAGTCTCACTTATGCCTATGTAGGATGCCACGATACCTTTATAGAATCCCAGAATACCCTAAGAAATATATACATATATATATATATATATATATATATATATATATAGTCGAAATATACATATATATATATATATATATATATATACACATTTCATATATATATAGCTTTTCGTAATATAAATCTAACTTACTTCGAAATTGCATTAGTATTATGCGACATTTGTTATGAATCAAATAAATATCGCCTAGATTTGCAAATTTGTACAATAATGGTAAATTAATAATTTTGTTATATGAATCAAATAAATATTTTCTGCATTTTCAAATTTGTGTAATAACAGTAATAAATTAATAATTTTAATTATTAATTCTGAAATCATCTGTTTGTTCTAATTTTATGATATTGAAACAAATAAAAAAGAAATTAGTCTGCTAATATATAATTAAATTATAAGAAATTTTGTTAAAAAGTTCAGATTTTTTAAAAATAATTTATATACATATATCATATAATTCAATTAATATATAATTAATTCATCATATCGTCGTATTAATAATTCACAAGTATATATTATGTAAATAAAACACTCACACAAAGATAACTACGCATTACGATGTAAGTGTGTTACCATGTTATTAAAGGAAAATTGATTAAATTAATTATCAAAAAATCATTATAAAAGGTTCACGATCTTACACGTATCTCTGAATAATAAAGTAATAGCAATACGATATATAATAAAAAAACGATATATATCTTATTAGCAATATATTTAAACTTGGACTTAATTTAGACTTAGATACTCTCTTAAAAAATAAGAATACGTGATATCTGCGTGCTCAATTAAGAATAGCATTAAATCGAGTGTTCATATCTGTGATAAGAAAACTAAAATTATTTAAGATACTACTCATATTTCGTTGACCAACGTTGATCGATGTCGATATTGAATGAGCAAATAAAATAATATTTTAGTGATGATATAGAAATTTATCGATAACCACACAATAAACTATAATAATATAAACAAAATAAATTAATTACGTCTTATCAATTCATAATTTAGAATAAAAAATTGTGAAAAGTGCAAATTATTTATTGTATGTATCATTATAATTTAAATTATATGGATATTTTCAAATGTTAATTTTTAATTTCTTATAATACATTATTTTGCACTTTTGCTTCAATTAGTACTTCCACATTAATTATACGTAAAGTCAGTACAAAGATAATATATGAAGACGATAAGAAAAATAGGGAAGGTAGAGATCTATTGACTGCACGAGTGTTACTTGACATATTTTTTAAGATATTTTTACACAGATGTACTATTCGTAGAGCAAGGCGTCAGTTTTAAAACTGGCTCAATTCCGAGATGCCGAATGCAATTTCAGTACGTGTATGTATATTGTGCAGTCCACTCTTTCCAAGTAAATAATCTCGATTTAACACACGTCCACAGAACGATACTTATGGCAAGCAAACAATTTGTTCAAACAATATATTGTTGCAAACAATATATTGAAATATTTCATATCGATATAAAATTTCTCATTATTTCATCTTTTTTTACGAGAAATAAAAATAATAATAAATATATTTAATTTATGTTAAAGAAATTATTTCCGTGTAACTTAATCTCGTTTCTTTAAGGATTAAATATAATAATTAGTGAAATATAATTTTATAATATAATAATCTTCTTATGTTGTAGAAAGTTATTTTCTGTTAAATATTTAATATTTTGCATATATATATATATATATATATATATATATATATATATATAGCGTGTCCCAAAAGTATGGACACACCTCATTTTCTTAGAAAATAAGCGTGCTAGAAAAAAACGTCAATAACAAAAGTTTCGGGAAATCAAACGGTGCATCTAAGAGTGACCTTGAGTTTGACCTTGAGCTTGACCTTCAAGGTTATTTGAAGGTCAAAGTGTTTTTTTTAAATGGGAATCCCTATTTTTGATTGTATATTCTTATAGCTGACCTCGAGAGCTTTCCAAAACATTATAATAAAATATTTTTCCCTCAAGCATTTATCGAGTTATGAGGCTTCAAATCATTTCTTAATTTTACATAAACCGTAAAATCTTGTAAAATATTCACTTTTCGATTATTTTACCTTAATACTTTTATGTACAAAATAATGAGAGGAATTAATTGGTGTAAAGAAAACATACAGTTGTTTTTAAGAAAAAATATGGAATTGTTAATTGCAAATTACATATTTTTTCTTAAAAACAACTATATGTTTTCTTTACGTCAATTGATTCCTCTCATTATTTTGTACATAAAAGTATTAAGGTAAAATAATCGAAAAGTGAATATTTTACAAGATATTTTACGATTTATGTAAAATTAAGAAATGATTTGAAGCCTTATAACTCGATAAATGCTTGAGGGAAAAATATTTTATTATAGTGTTTTGGAAAGCTCTCGTGGTCAGCTATAAGAATATACAATCAAAATATAGGGGTCCCCATTAAAAAAAACACTTTGACCTTCAAATAACCTTGAAGGTCAAGCTCAAGGTCAAACTCAAGGTCACTCTTAAATGCACCGTTTGATTTCTCGAAACTTTTGTTATTGACGTTTTGTTCTAGCACGCTTATTTTCCAAGAAAATCAGGTGTGTCCATACTTTTGGGACACACTGTATATATATATATATATATATATATATATATATATATCGCATTAAATATAAAATAAAAAAGTCATAATCTTACAAAAACAATCTAATAAAACGAATTAGATAATCTAGGAAATTTATAATTGTAAGAAGATTATAATATCATCGTTAAATAAACTAATGCGCTTATTCGTAAGTATCTCACAAATTTTGAATTGTCAAATTTCTTCCGATATTTTAGAATTTTCAACATCTAACATATTATATGAGGAATTACATCAATTCTATATCCGATAAATCTATTTCGCTCCAACAAACATCAATGTTGTATATATATATATATATATATATATATATATATATATATACATTTGTTAAATATCTATCTAATGACGCCCTTGCAACATCGTCGTTAATTTCGTGCACTCCTTTATATCGTTTTAAATTTGTTTTAATTTGTTACCGTGTACAATTATTTCATCAAGTGATCCGACAATGATCTCGCGAAACCGATCGATAGACGATGCTGAGAGTTGTGCCAATTTTCTTTATAAAAGAAAGAAAATTAGGGAAGGAAAGAGAGACAAAAAACCATCGGTTCTAGAAAAATTCAAGCGATATCTAAAAAGAAACTGTAAATAAAAAAACCAATAATAGTAGGTTTAATCTTCTTGTAAAAATGTTATTTATTAAAAAAATGATACACACACACACACAATATTTAACTTTAGTTATTAAATTTTAATTATTTTTAAATTATGTCACTTCATCTCTAAGTATCACTTCAATAACTGCATTCCATTCATTCTTTAAAGTGCACCCTTACCTTCTTTAGTTTTATTTAATTAGCTATTTTTACAATATGCAATTTATTTTATTATTTCTTAAGTATTACTATAAATCAGTTTAGAAAGAAAAGCGTATGACAATGTATATAAATTATATACAAATCTTTTTTATTACATAGTGTTATTGATATGTACAAAATTTAAGAAAAAAACTTCAGCCATGTAAATTTTTTTTTAAGCGTGCATTTAAGAATAGTTTATCATTTTTTTTCCAATTCAGATATTCGCAAAGAATTACTTTCTTACAAACACAATGCTATAGTCGATTTTTTTAATATACATGTAAGATACATCAGGAATGAATATTTTGCTTTTTATAGATATAAATTAATAAGATTTAGTTTTTTATGAAGTATCTATTGAGTAATAAATTATTGTTCTTAAATTGATGATTTGTTGAGAAAATAAATATATCGATTCGTTCATGATAGATACGCAGAGCATCATGTAGATTCAATAAACAGTCAACGTAGAAAATTTTATATATTATATATAATCCTATTTTCTGCTATGATATAAAATTACGCATCATGATGTAATCTTACTCAATTTTATCATATATATGTTTCAAGAAATTTCTTCCGATTATTCGAATTGTCTAATCGAAAATTTAGCTCGATAATTTTTTGGAACATTTTCCATGTAGTTATGAGAATTATCGTGCAAAAATGTGATGTGTCAATATATATGTGTATATGTATATATGTATACATGTGCGCGCATCCAGATAGCGAATGCAAATATATAGCGATTGACACACGTTTTACATAACTGCGTCATCGAATTCCCTTCTGAACGAGTTGGATGTGTGATTTTATAAATATGAATCTTATATTTCGGCATTGTTAAGGCCGGCTATTTAATATATTGCGCATACTATTTGCGAAATGTATTAATGTGAACACAAATATGTGCATTGTATATAATACAAACTATGTAATATAATATATTTAATATAAATGTGCAAATCAAAATTTACATCTGACATTAATCAATTAAAATAATACTAAAAAGAATTAATTTTTATATATATTTTATTTTACATATACTTATGTTTGTGTAAATTTCACTATTTATTATTCTTATGTATATAGGTATTTTTAATTTATTAATTGTTAATTATTATTATTCTTTATTTATTTTTCTGTTGTTCGCGAGTGAGCGCGGATTGCTGCGGCAGCGCGAGAATTTGGCGACGCGGCAGATGAATGACCGCGAACAGATAATTGAACATAAAAGCTTGCCACGACACGTAATTCTTTTTTTGGTTTTGCGTTTTATTTAATACACCACAATCAACAAAGTACAATAAACTGAACATAAAATTTCAGATCCAGAAAACGTACGGAGAAGTCCGAGAAACAAAGCGGTCGACGTATTTTGCGGTTAAACTGAGCGGTTATTCTAAGCGGTTTTTCAAAGCGTACTGCGAGCAGCGTTAAGTGCGAGACTTGAGTTGGTCCACGCGCGGCGCCCGTTATAAGGCGCTCGGAATTTTGGGCCCGCGTCGACGTGGACCAATTAATTTAAGATTTTAGCGGTGACACGATTGCGACGTGTGTCATTGGCCGCTAATGACGTCTCATGTCGTAAACAATTTATTTTCCATGCGCGCAATCTTTTAAGATCAGCTGATTGGTGATCGCATGGGCGCGCATGCCCATGAGCGGCGCAAATCTTAACGGCGGTTGACAATGTTATTGTCCGCGGCAATAACGAGCGTCTTTTTCTGACGGAAAAAAATGAGATAGCTCGAGTGTTCGAGTTTTTTTTCTCGATAAACAAAGATTTCGAGAACTTTCTCGACGCTCGTTAATTTTTGAATATAATAAATATTCGAATATTTATTAGCGAGAATATGTGAGTTCCGCTATGCGATTTCTGAACTCGAAATGATTGATTTTAATTTCGAACATCTGTTATAGCTATTGATATGATTTTCAAAAGAATAAAAATAATTAGAAAAAAATTAATCAAGATTGTTTATTCTAATTTACAGTATTTTTAAGATGGTACAGTATTTTTAAGATTTTTAAGATTCACACACTCATAAATAAAGATAAATTAATTTTTTTTTATATTTTAATCGAAAATACGAGTTATATAATAATAATCACCTTAAGTTTGTTTTGATATTAAAGCTATATTCTTTTTCTATATGTGAATCGAGATTTCATATAACATAAATAAATGTTAATTGTAATTTATTTTAATTAATTCAAATTGTAATTTATTTTAATTGACTCAATTAGACTATATTATATAGAAAGGGATTTTGTTAATAATCAGGATTAGACAATTTTGACGAAAATCAACTTTATTTAATTATATCGCGGAAGAACTGTAAACTAAGAGTCGACAATTAACTCATTAAATTAGAATCGATTAAGATTATCATTTCATATGCAGATTTCAGATTTCTGCCATGCATACATTTTTATCGTATATTTTATCGTGTATTTTTTATCGTATATTGCAGTATTATAATTATACAAAAAATGAAAAATTTATACAGATGAATTTATACTATTGATAAAGATATGATGCAAAAAAATTAGTAGATACTATAACCATTAAAAAATGAAAACTTTAACAAAAAAACTGTGTTAGTCAATATGTCAATATGTGGAAATAATGTTCATTTAAAAAAAATTAATGATTGCATTTTTGTTTTGCGCATTACAGTTATTCTCATAAATGATACATACATATTGCAGAGCATCGATTACGTTAGAACGCAAAAAGGAGATCCTTTATCAAGCTAGAAATAATTGTCTGATAATTTCGTTATACGATCGCATACTACGTTACTAGTACATATCATTTGACATGAATCGCGAACATATCAGGCTATAATTCATGTGCGTACTTTTTTAAGTCATCGTCATAATACATACCTAATAATAATTTTAATTGTGGTTCGAAAAAGATCAAAGAATTTTAAAACTTTCATAGGAATATTATTCGTGATCTTCAACATGTAAAAAACAAAGGCAATAATTGAGAGACCATCGTTTTTATAAGGTTATAAATGCAAAAAAACGAGTTGATTTTACACAGTAATGCTTTATAAAATGCCCTTGCGATAACATCAATTTATCTCGTTTTTATGTTTATCTTATGAAGACGTTAGCATTACACTTAGATCTCGATATAGAATAAAAAAGAGATATCATCGAGATATTTTTGTTGCAAACTTTCAATATTCGATAATAAATATTTTTGCAATTTTTATTAAATTATCTTATTAAAGTACCACTGAAAACTAAACGAATTGTTATCGAAATCATAATGAGTTATGTTGATCAATTTTCTGAGAATTTATAAAAAGCAATGTTTTTTTTATTTCTCTTATTTGTACACCATCTAGATAATTATTTTAATATTGATTATACATATAGATATATAAATATTTGATATATAAATATGTTGCGTTTTAATTGAAGTATTCCGAAGATATACAGAGAAAGATAGCTTGTAATAATTTTAATCTACATAATAACAAGTGCGGTGCGGGTGGGGTGCGTGCGTGCGTGGCGTGCGTGCGTGCGTGCGTGGGTGCGTGCGTGCGTGCGTGGTGGGGTGCGTGCGTGCGTGGGCGTGCGTGGTGCGTGCGTGCGTGCGTGCGTGGCGTGGCGTGCGTGCGTGCGGTGCGTGCGTGGGCGTGCGTGCGTGCGTGCGTGCGTGCGTGCGTGCGTGCGTGGCGTGCGTGCGTGCGTGTGCGTGCGTGCGTGCGGCGTTGCGTGCGTGCGTGCGTGCGTGCGTGCGTGCGTGCGTGCGGTGCGTGCGTGCGTGCGTGCGTGCGTGCGTGCGTGCGGTGGCGTGCGTGCGTGCGTGCGTGGCGTGCGTGCGTGCGTGCGTGCGTGCGTGCGTGCGTGGCGTGCGGGTGCGTGGCGTGCGTGCGTGCGTGCGTGCGTGCGTGCGTGGCGTGCGTGCGTGCGTGCGTGCGTGCGTGCGTGCGTGCGTGCGGGGTGGGCGTGCGTGCGTGCGTGCGGGTGCGTGCGTGGGCGTGCGTGCGTGGGGGGTGCGTGCGTGCGTGCGTGCGTGCGTGCGTGCGTGCGGCGTGCGTGCGTGCGTGCGTGCGTGGGCGTGCGTGCGTGCGTGCGTGCGGGTGCGTGGTGCGTGGGGGCGTGCGTGCGTGGGGGCGTGCGTGCGTGCGTGCGTGCGTGCGTGCGTGCGTGCGTGGCGTGCGTGCGTGCGTGCGTGGCGTGCGTGCGTGCGTGCGTGCGTGCGTGCGTGCGTGCGTGCGTGCGTGGCGTGCGTGCGTGCGTGCCGTGGCGTGCGTGCGTGCGGTGCGTGCGTGCGTGCGTGCGTGCGTGCGTGCGGGTGCGTGGGCGTGCGTGCGTGCGTGCGTGCGTGCGTGCGTGCGTGCGTGGCGTGCGTGCGTGCGTGCGGTGCGTGGCGTGCGTGCGTGGCGTGCCGTGCGTGCGTGCGTGCGTGCGTGCGTGCGTGCGGTGCGTGCGTGCGTGGCGTGCGTGCGTGCGTGGCGTGCGTGCGTGCGTGCGGGTGCGTGCGGTGCGTGCGTGCGTGCGTGCGTGCGTGCGTGCGTGCGTGCGTGGCGTGCGTGCGTGCGTGCGTGCGTGCGTGCGTGCGTGGCGTGCGTGCGTGCGTGCGTGCGTGCGTGGCGTGGCGTGCGTGCGTGGCGTGGGCGTGCGTGCGTGCCGTGCGTGGCGTGCGTGCGTGCGTGCGGTGCGTGCGTGCGTGCGTGCGTGCGTGGCGTGCGTGCGTGGCGTGCGTGCGTGCGTGCGTGCGTGCGTGGCGTGCGTGCGTGCGTGCGTGCGTGCGTGCGTGCGTGCGTGCGTGCGTGCGTGCGTGCGTGCGTGCGTGCGTGCGTGCGTGCGTGCGTGCGTGCGTGCGTGCGTGCGTGCGTGCGTGCGTGCGTGCGTGCGTGCGTGCGTGCGTGCGTGCGTGCGTGCGTGCGTGCGTGCGTGCGTGCGTGCGTGCGTGCGTGCGTGCGTGCGTGCGTGCGTGCGTGCGTGCGTGCGTGCGTGCGTGCGTGCGTGCGTGCGTGCGTGCGTGCGTGCGTGCGTGCGTGCGTGCGTGCGTGCGTGCGTGCGTGCGTGCGTGCGTGCGTGCGTGCGTGCGTGCGTGCGTGCGTGCGTGCGTGCGTGCGTGCGTGCGTGCGTGCGTGCGTGCGTGCGTGCGTGCGTGCGTGCGTGCGTGCGTGCGTGCGTGCGTGCGTGCGTGCGTGCGTGCGTGCGTGCGTGCGTGCGTGCGTGCGTGCGTGCGTGCGTGCGTGCGTGCGTGCGTGCGTGCGTGCGTGCGTGCGTGCGTCTGCGTGCGTGCGTGCGTGCGTGCGTGCGTGCGTGCGTGCGTGCGTGCGTGCGTGCGTGCGTCGTGCGTGCGTGCGTGCGTGCGTGCGTGCGTGCGTGCGTGCGTGGTGCGTGCGTGCGTGCGTGCGTGCGTGCGTGCGTGCGTGCGTGCGTGCGTGCGTGGGCGTGCGTGCGTGCGTGCGTGCGTGCGTGCGTGCGTGCGTGCGTGCGTGCGTGCGTGCGTGCGTGCGTGCGTGCGTGCGTGCGTGCGTGCGTGCGTGCGTGCGTGCGTGCGTGGCGTGCGTGCGTGCGTGCGGTGCGTGCGTGCGTGCGTGCGTGCGTGCGTGCGTGCGTGCGTGCGTGCGTGCGTGCGTGCGTGCGTGCGTGCGTGCGTGCGTGCGTGCGTGCGTGCGTGCGTGCGTGCGTGCGTGCGTGCGTGCGTGCGTGCGTGGCGTGCGTGCGTGGCGTGCGTGGCGTGCGTGCGTGCGTGCGTGCGTGCGTGCGTGCGTGCGTGCGTGCGTGCGTGCGTGCGTGCCGTGCGTGCGTGCGTGCGCGTGCGTGCGTGCGTGCGTGCGTGCGTGCGTCGTGCGTGCGTCGGCGTGCGTGCGTGCGTGCGTGCGTGCGTGCCGTGCGTGCGTGCGTGCGTGCGTGCGTGCGTGCGTGCGTGCGTGCGTGCGTGCGTGCGTGCGTGCGTGCGTGCGTGCGTGCGTGCGTGCGTGCGTGCGTGCGTGCGTGCGTGCGTGCGTGCGTGCGTGCGTGCGTGCGTGCGTGCGTGCGTGCGTGCGTGCGTGCGTGCGTGCGTGCGTGCGTGGCGTGCGTGCGTGCGTGCGTGCGTGCGTGCGTGCGTGCGTGCGTGCGTGCGTGCGTGCGTGCGTGCGTGCGTGCGTGCGTGCGTGCGTGCGTGGCGTGCGTGCGTGCGTGCGTGCGTGCGTGCGTGCGTGGCGTGCGTGCGTGCGTGCGTGCGTGCGTGCGTGCGTGCGTGCGTGCGTGCGTGCGTGCGTGCGTGCGTGCGTGCGTGCGTGCGTGCGTGCGTGCGTGCGTGCGTGCGTGCGTGCGTGCGTGCGTGCGTGCGTGCGTGCGTGCGTGCGTGCGTGCGTGCGTGCGTGCGTGCGTGCGTGCGTGCGTGCGTGCGTGCGTGCGTGCGTGCGTGCGTGCGTGCGTGCGTGCGTGCGTGCGTGCGTGCGTGCGTGCGTGCGTGCGTGCGTGCGTGCGTGCGTGGCGTGCGTGCGTGCGTGCGTGCGGCGTGCGTGCGTGCGTGCGTGCGTGCGTGCGTGCGTGCGTGCGTGCGTGCGTGCATGTGTTGATTCGGTCGCGCAACGAGCGCGTTAAAGCGCGATGGTTCGATATTCGCGCGTGAGTTCGATAAATCGCTTATTCGTTTTAGAATGGGCGGCAGTGATGCGCGATTAAGTATAAATTTATAATGGAAATGCCTCGGATCGTGAATAACAGCCGATGATGCGGCAACAATGATTAGGCACGCAAACGCTAATTACAATTTTGTGCAGGATGCGATCGTGCGGTTCCCGGTATTTGGTGCGTTCTCGGATCTCTTATCGCATGCGTTTTTGCGCGGGTTTTTGTCGCGCTTATTTACGGCCGCCTGAGCTAAGCGTTTAAAGCCCGGTGGGATGGCTCTTTAAAAGTGTTAATTTTATCCTGATGGATGATAGGTGTAGGAAGGCGACGCTAGCAAGCGTCGGAGGCGGCTCGTGTTCCACCTCGGGAGAGGTGCGATACCTGAGGGTGTATTCGGAAGCGATTTCGAAGACACCGATATCAATCGGCGGAGGCAGCGTTCGCACTACCTTCTGGCCTTTCTAATTTCGCAGGATTTCCTCTTAATTGCTTTGTTTGCCTTCAGACTAGCTCGGCTAGGAGAATCGGAAGGATCTGCCCGAAGTGTCACCGGGAGCCCGTTTTATACCGCTAATTATGGCACGCGCCGGCGTATTTGTTGGTTACTCCCACCGGGCGGCGGAAAAAATAACGGTATTCGCGCGAGGTTCTCATTCGGCGGCTTCCGGCGACGGTGCTCGGGATGCCGCGTGCGGTTCTCAACCGGCGACTCCCGGCCGACAGTGTTCGGTCGGACTTCTTACCCGGTTTTTCGCTAAAGTTTAAAAAGTGGGCACACAGCCCTCTGTTTCTGCCCGACTGGTGGTCGTCGGGCGGCAGCTTCCGGCTGATGTTTGCCGAGATGCATTCCGGGGTGCATCGTTACACACTTTAATATAAATGCTTTACATTTTGGACATGCAGAATAATCAGAAGGTAATCTATTATATTTTTTCTTAGAGCGTCTTTCTATGAGTAGTTTATCATCATTTCGTGTATTATCTACATTAAAGTAAAAATCTCCACGTCTTCGAAGTGTTTCTATAATTTTTCGTCGCTCTGCAGTTCCTTTTGGCAAATGCTTAAATTTTTGAACTTCTAACTCAGCATGTACTCGTTCAAGGTGACGAGCTATTTTGCTTTGAAAAGTATTACAGTACATGCAAAAATGTTTTTTGGTGCCTGCATCAGTCGATAAAACGAACCTTTCCGCATCATCTCGGGCACAGTTGCCTGTTACGTTTAATGACGTTGATATATCTAATCCACTAGATACATTTTCTGAACTATTATCTTCCTTGAGGGAAGCACCTGTTGTTTGATTGATTTCAGTATTAATTATATTTTCTTCAGACGCATCATCAACATATTCTGTAATAATACATTTACATGTTAAGAACATTTATATGTTAAGAATAACAATATATATATATATATATATATATATATATATATATATAGTTAAATTATAAATTATAAATTATTAATACATAAAAGTTATAAAATAAAAAAATATGTATTTTATATGATAATTTTGCTTATTATTATTTTTTAAATAACTGTACCTTCAGTGGAAACATATTTATCAGATTCGAGAGACTGTCCAAGTAATATTTGGAGTAATGCATTGTAAATCATTAGAACTGGGTTCATACACCTCTGTTCGAGATCGCGAGGCGATGCACCGGAAAGCGAGCTTTGCGAGCGTCCGGCGAGGAAGAGCGAGAATGGTTTTGATATATATTTAACACAAATGTACAAAGTTTTGTCCTTTTATTGTGATATGCAAAATTATTCTTTATTGCTATATACAAAAGTCTAATTCTTTACATGCACTATTTACACTGTGTTTAAATTTAATAACTAAGAAAAAAACACGAATATGAAACTCTCGTAGAATTTCTATTCCGCGGGCAACGGAACGAATATATTTCGCAAGCGACGAATTGAATATTTTAAGCATCGATAAGAGCGCATCAGAAACTTTACGAAAAGAAGCGCGGCGCTACCCGATCGCGTCAATTTATACCGGGGGCCTTCTCGAAGGATCCCGACTTTTCTTGAATTCAACGGTCGCGGAGACAATGTTCAAATTTGTCGCTCTAACGGATTATTTTTCGCCTTTCGATCCTTCGAGAATGGCGAGCGCTGTTTGTCTTATCGCAGACAAAGAGATTTTGTGCTTTAACGGCTGCCAGGGGCGCCAATCTGAACGGTTGGGCCCGACTCTTTATTCTCGAAAGTCGATTATTTATCAATTTCGAACATGCCGCCCGCCTCGCCCGATGTTTCGGGCGAAAAGTTACGCATGGATAAGAGTCGCAGCGGCGCTTTTGTAATTTCGTGATCGTGAATGCAGTGCGAGAACGAAGACATGACATAGATTCGCTTAGTGGTTGTCCATATGTTCGCACAGGTAATTATTAAATCGATTATTTATGAATCGCACCACTTAGCATACTCACATACAAGGTGGATTTTTTTTGTTAAATGTCTATGGGTGCGGGCTCACGGAACGCTTTAGTATCGGTGACCACGCTGTCGACTGGAAGGAGGACGATCTTCACCACTGGCTGCTTCAGCGTCGTGGTAGCCATCCGTGCCGTGATCACTCTCATGATGCCGTCGTCGCCGGGATGTACTGCCGTGATGCGGGCCAAGGGCCATTTACAGGGAGGCAAATGTTCGCCTCGCACGAGGCACAGGTCGCCGATTCGGGGAGTGGCGTTCGTTCTTCACCACTTTTGCCTTGCTGAGAGGGTATGCAAGTACTCATGTGATCATCGGTACCAGAAGTGGTCGCGCATCTGTTGGAGATGCTGCCACCGCGACAGGCGGTTCGATGACTCCTCATGCATCGAAGGTTCTGATACCGCGTTGAGCGCCGTCCCCACCAGGAAGTGTCCTGGTGTCAGAGAGCTCACATCCTCTGGATCGTCGGAGAGAGGTAGCAGCGGCCGTGAGTTGAGGCACGCCTCGATTTGCGCCAAGACCGTCGTCATCTCCTCGAAGGAGTTTTGTTTCGCCACTGACCCGCCTCAAATGGTGATTGACTGATTTAACCGCTGCTTCCCACAGTCCACCGAAGTGCGGAGCCGCTGCTGGATTGAAGGACCATTTCACCCCGTCTGTAGCCAGCAGACAATCCTCTGGTCGCCTTTGGTAGCGCTTCTGAAGAGGGCTCGCAGTTGTGAATCCGCCCTGATGAAATTAGTTCCGCGGTCGCTGTAGAGCGTATGACACAGGCCTCGACGGGACACGAAACGCCGGAACGCTGCGAGGAAGGCGTCCGTGCTATAGTCCGACGCGACCTCCAAGTGGACGGCTTTGATGCTGAAACAGACGAAGATTATCAGAAACGTCTTGTGCGCACGATGGCCTCGTCCCTTCGTTGTGCGGAGCTGGATCGGCCCGGCGTAGTTGACTCCGGTGTGAGTGAATGGCCGGGATGCGACTACTCGAGTCGGAAGCAGACTCCCCATGGCTGTGGTGATGCCGCCCGCCATCTCACACACGATATGCAACGATGAAGATAGCGTCGGACGGCCGCACAGCCTCCAGGGATCCAGTAGCGCTGCCGCAACGTGCAGTAAGCTGCACTCCTCCGTGCAAGGTTCCCCTGTGGCTGGCCTCGATGATCAAGGTGGTGAGGTGCGATGCCGCGGGCAGAATCACCGGATGTCGCTCGTCGAGAGCAATGAATGTCGGAGACGATCACTCACTCACAACAGTCCATCCTCGTCGATGAAGGGCGAGAGCTTGAGTAACTGACTGCGCCGAGGAATGGGTCGCCCGCTGGCGATGGTCTTCATTTCCGCTGCGAACCACGTGCCCTGCATCTCGTCTGGCGTTCTCGAGCTCCCTCGGGGTGAGCGTGATTTCCCTGCTCCCCTGAGCAGGGGGAGTTTGGGCCCGCCTCTTTTCACGCCATCTCAGGCATCATGCAGTCACGCGAAGCAGGCGATGGAGCGTCGAGAATTGCTGCAGCAGTGACCCGTCTTCGTTGGTGTTCAGCAACGGCGGAGAGCACCCGCGCGCGGTGCTCGGGCGGGTTGGTCACCTCCACGTCTGCCGGAAAGTGGGCCGGCCAATTAGCTTCGTCCACGAGCCAGGACGGGCCTTGCCACCAGAGGGTGAAGTCAAGAAGCTCCCTCGGAGTCAGACCTCTCGACGCGCAATCCGCCGGATTATCTGCGCTGGAGACGTGATGCCAGCGTGCCGTGGGAAGCACGCGTTGAATATTTGCGACACGATTGGCGACGAATGTTTTCCACTTCGATGGGTGACCCTGGATCCAAGCGAGGGCCACCGTTGAATCCGACCACAGGTGAATGGTTGCGTTGCCCAGCTCCAGCGTCTCTCACGTGCGCCACGAGTCTAGTCAGCATGTCCGCCGCACAGAGTTCTAGTCGCGGGAGCGAAATTTGGCGGATGAGCGCGACCTTGGTTTTCGCTGCCAACAAGAAAGGTCCGCTGGCCTTGCTGGAGCGAATCCTCGCGTACACGGCGGCGGTGTAGGCTCGTTGTGAAGCATCAGCGAACCCGTGCAACTCTACGTCGCTGCTTTGAGTGGAGTGAAGCCAGCGAGGGACGCGAACCTCTTCTAGCAGCGGAAGTTCCCTCTGGATGCGCTGCCACGCGTTTCTCTCCACCTGAGCCACTGATTCGTCCCAGGCGAGCCGGTGCAAACACAGGGTCTGGATGATTACCTTGGCGCTGATCATCACCGGTGCAAGCCATCCCAGAGGATCGAACAAGCGCGCCGTGCTTGACAGGATGATCGTTCGCTTGGTAATGCACTCCGGCTTGGCCTCCTGTACCCTGAAAGCAAACTCGTCCCCCCGAGGATGTCATTGGAGCCCTAGCGTGACATGGCCAAGGTCGGACTGCCAGGTACGTGTGTCCCGTTCCTGTCGGTGTTCCAACGGGATGTGGTCCAGGAGGTCGCTCGAGTTTGCCGCCCATTTGCGAAGGGGGAAGCCCCCCGCCAAGCACGTGTGAATCAGTTCCGTCTGAAGTTCGAACGCCTCCTCCAGAGTGTCAGGTCCTGTTAGGATGTCGTCCACGTAGCAGTCACGGCGAAGCACGGCGGCCCCCTTGGGAAACTGTTTCTCTTCGTCTGCAGCCAACTGCCGCAGAGTCCGGACTGCGAGGTAAGGTGCACATGCTAGGCCATAGGTGACCGTGTTTAGTTGGTACTCCTGTACAGGCTTGTTTCTGTCGGCTCGCCACAAGATCCGCTGCAGGTCGCGATCTCCCGGATGGATCAGAATTTGGCGGTACATCTTTTCGATGTCTGCCACCATTGCGTACTGCGGTAGGCGCCAGCGCAGGAGGATGTCAGGCAAGGTGGGCAGCAGATTCGGTCCTGTCAGGAGGAACGCATTCAGCGAGTCGCCGGGAGGTAACCATGATGACGACCCATTGAAGACGACCCTGATTTTCCGGTGATTGCCCGTAGTCTTCAACACGCCGTGATGAGGAAGGTAGCACAGGCGCCCGTGACTGCCGGTCAGTGGGGCGACGGGCGTCATGTAGTGGAGACCCTCATATTCAGCCATGAAGCTTCCGTATAGGTTTTGCAGGTCTGCATCAGTTTGAAATCGTCGCTCCATGCAGAGCAGTAAGCGATGAGCAGCGCGCCTTGTGTCGCTCAACATTAGGAGATTTCTCGTCACGGGAAGGCGCACCATGTATCGTCCTTTCGCTGTTCGGATGTGCGTACGGGTGTAGAAGTCCTCGCATTTCTGTTCCTCGTTCGTGAGTGGCAATGGCGTGTTCGGGAGCTCCTCCTGGTCCCAAAATTGCCCCACCAGTGCTGCGTGCTTGTCGTCCACTGAACATTGATGTGAGGAGACGACAGTGTCCTCGTTCTCGTCGACGATTCCCGTGAGGATCCAGCCTAAAGTCATTCTTTGAGCGACTGACCAGTTCGGTTCGCCTTTGCGGAGTCCCTCCTCGATAATGCTGGCGAAGACATCGGCCCTGAGGAGCACGTCCACCGGGTCAGCCGCCCGAAATTCTGGGTCCACAAGTTGAAGCCCGTGCACGTGCTGCCAATTGCCGCACGCCATTTTCACCCGCGATCCATAAGTCGAGATCTTTGGCAGGACAGTCATCTGGAGGCTGTAGTCCGACGTTGTAGACGAGATCCGCATCGAAACCTCACCGTTCGCCGATGCGCTTCGTTGCTCGCCGATGCCGAAGAGCGTAATTGGAGCGGAGATTCGGCGGAGACGGAGCCGTTGCGCAAGCGACTCCGTTATGAGCGACACCTCTGATCCTGAGTCGATGAGAGCGCGCACGCGGTGCTTTGTACCGGCTCTGTCGATGACGTCGACCCGAGCGGTGACGAGGAGCATCGCTAGCCCTCGCGCTGGCCGTTTTTGCACGTGCGACGTTGGTGTTGCGGATGCCGGGACTGCAGCTGTCGAATAGGCGTCGTGCGTCGACGTGTGGTGTCGAGCCTTGCACGCGGTGCATGTCTTTTTCGACTGACACTCTGCCACCTTGTGCTTTCCAAAGCAGTTCAAGCAGAGCTGGTTTGCCTCGGCGTGCTCCTTCTTCTGCGCTGGCGTCTTCTTCTGGAACTCAGTGCAGAAGAGGACGTAGTGCTCTCCTTGGCACATGGTGCATCGACCGTTCCTTTTGGTCGATTTTTGCGCGATATGTGCACGGGCGGATTGCGTTGCAGAGCTCGGCTTGGAGCCGGTCGCGGAAGCCGCTTCCGTCTTCGCGGGTTGGTGCGCCTCTAATATCTGCATGCGACACTCTAGGAATGTCTTCAGGGTGTCGTAACTTGGCGGTTCTGACGAGGTGCTGATTGACGTCTTCCAATCCCGTCGGGAACGCGGGTCGAGCCTTTCGACGACAAGATGTACGAAGAGATCTATACCGTCAGTGATTGGGCAGCCGATGCTTTCGAGGGTTCCGACCGTGCTGGTCATCTCGTGAAAGAGACGCCTGAGATCGCCGGCCGACTCGGTCTTCATCTTCGGCGAGGCCGTGAATTTAGTATAACAAGATCTTACCAGGAAACGCTTATTGTCGTAGTAGGCGACCAGCATGGACCAGGCGCGCTCAAAATTCTCCTCCGTAGTGGGTAGATTGCGGATCAGCTGCTCCGCCTCACTTTTCACATTTGTCTTCAGGTAGTGCAGCCGCTCACCACCCGACAAAGACGTGTTCTTGATGACCAGCGATTTGAAAAGATCCCGGAAGGCCGGCCACTCCTCATACTGTCCGCTGAAGTTGGGAAGCTGGATCCTAGGCAGCGTGGTGCGTGGCACGGATGACACGGGCGGCAACTGCTCGAAAGCGGTTTTCGCGCCTTCCTTTGCCCTGAGCTTGGAGCAAGTCAAGAAGCGCACCGTTCTGTTGGAAGTACGCTTCCGCCAGAAAGGGGACATCCTGCTAATAATATTCGTGATCAGTGAGTGCGGCGCGATGAGAAAAGATCTTATCGTCTTGCTGATCGAACTTCACCCATTTCCGTTCCAGGCCCTGGAGGCAGGCGTCGACGAGGCCTTGGGTCAGCTTGGCTGCCCCAGCCTTGCGGAGATTCTCGCCAGTGCGAGCGATCTTTGTAAAAAGGTTGACCTGGGCGTCAGCCAATGCTTTGATGGCTCATCTTCACTTCTTTCCTTTTCAGGTGATGCGCTCACAAGCGATGAGGACACTTACCGAGTTTTGATTTCGCACAGCACCGTCACCGGCCACATACGCGAATCCGGCTCGAAGGACCAAAAATAATGTTCGAGATCGCAAGGCGATGCACCGGAAAGTGAGCTTTGCGAGTGTGTCCGGCGAGGAAGCGCGAGAATGGTTTTGATATATATTTAACACAAATGTACAAAGTTTTGTCCTTTTATTGTGATATGCAAAATTATTCTTTATTGCTATATACAAAAGTCTAATTCTTTACATGCACTATTTACACTGTGTTTAAATTTAATAACTAAGAAAAAAACACGAATATGAAACTCTCGTAGAATTTCTATTCCGCGAGCAACGGAACGAATATATTTCGCAAGCGACGAATTGAATATTTTAAGCACCGTATAAGAGCGCGTCGGAGACTTTACGAAAAGAAGCGCGGCGCTACCCGATCGCGTCAATTTATACCGGGGACCTTCTCGAAGGATCCTGATTTTTCTTGAATTCGATGGTCGCGGAGACAATGTTCAAATTTGTCGCTCTAACGGATTGTTTTTCGCCTTTCGATTCTTCGAAAATGGCGAGCGCTGTTTGTTTTATCGCAGACAAAGAGATTTTGTGCTTTAACGGCTGCCAGGGGCGCCGATCTGAACGATTGGGTCCGACTCTATATTCTCGAAAGTCGATTATTTATCAATTTCGAACAACTTCAAATTGCATTGCATTTTCATTCCAATATCAAGATCGTGAGTTATCAGAAATGATTTCGACAGTATCTAATAAATGATTTAAGTAATTATGAAACTCAATCATATATTTATTATTTAGCATTTAACTTCCTTCATTGTTTTTAATATATACTTATTTTTAATATACTTATTATTAATATATACTTATATATACTAATATATACATAATATATACACAGTATCTATACAAATATTTTAAATTTATATGTTAAATTTTTTAAATTCCCTTGAATTTTCAGATATTTTTGTTTAAAATATATAAAATTAAAGAATTTTTAGAACTTACTTTCAAGTAAATTTATATATAAGTATGATCGTGAATATTTGTATAATTTTAATAACAAACCTTTATTTAAATTTTCAATTTCATTATTACATTGTACGTTACATGTGCTGTGACAGTCTGTTTCTATCATTGACTCTTGACTTAATAACGAACATAGCGCTTTTTTTTAACCTGCAGATTTGATGCATGTAAAATACTATTCAAAAACACAGTACCTCCATCTTGTATTATATTACTCACAATATTGCAGTCAATAATCTCATTATCATTATTTATTCCTATTTTATTCGAACTTGTTTCCTGGGAATTTCCTGTAATAATATATTAAATATTATATGCACATAATTATTTGTATCAATATTAAAACACAATTATTATAAATTCGATTTTTGTAATTATGAAATTTTATAGAGCAATTATTTATTATAAAAAAACTAGTATTTAAAAATATTTCTAAAATTTCTTTATATATTAATATATAAAGAAATTTTAGAAATATTTTTTATCATTATATAGAAATTTTAGAAATATTTTATGTCATTATATAGAATATTAATTTTTAGAAGTTATTTTCAAATAAATTTATATATAAGTATGATCGCGAATATTTGTATAATTTTAATAACAAACCTTTATTTAAATTTTCAATTTCATTATTACATTGTACGTTACATGTGTTGTGACATTCTGTTTCTCTCATTGACTCTTGACTTAATAACGAACATAGCGCTTTTTTTTAACCTGCAGATTTGATGCATGTAAAGTACTATTCAAAAACACAGTACTTCCATCTTGTATTATATTACTCACAATATTGCTGTCAGTAATCTCATTATCTCATTATCTCATTATTTATTCCTATTTTATTCGATCTTGTTTCCTGAGAATTTCCTGTAATAATATATTAATTATATTAAATATTATATGCACATAATTATTTGTATCAATATTAAAACACAATTATTATAAATTCGACTTTTGAAATTATGAAATATTATAGAGCAATTATCTATTATAAAAAAACTAATATTAAAAAATATTTCTAAAATTTCTTTACATATTAATATATATCATTATATAGAATATTAATATTATTAAATAAAAAAAATAAATTTTTAAGTATGTAAACATAAAATGTTTTCTTTTAACTTTATAACAATTCGCACATATTTAAACAAAAGTTCATATTAATGTAAATTTACAATTAATTATACGTTATAGAATTTCTCTAACCAGATGTAAACTCTTTGAAGAGACATGCATATATATATATATATATATATATATATATATATAATTTTAGATTATATATATACATATATATATACAGGGTGGGGCATTTATCTTGAGACAAGATAATATCTCGATTGGAGTCGATTATTTTGAAAAAAGTTTTAGACAAAAGTTGTAGGGCATTAAAGAGGCTATCGAAAGGTCCATATTACAATTTCCGGTCTAGACCGGAAGTGGCGTTTTTTGATCAGAATTCGTTTTTTTAAATGGAAACACCCATTTTTTGCCGCGGATTTCGATTGGAAATCGAAAAAAAATACTTTTTGTTCTTATTATTTTTTTTATTTAACCCATATTTTGGCCATAAAAAACAAAAAAACACAAAAATCTTGAGATAACGGAGTACTTTGTTGGGGTTGTGTCCAGGAGGCCAAAACACTTTGGATAGCATATATCACATGTAAAGTACAGACTACTTTTTCATGGGGTGGTGATTTTTAATCTAAACTTAATAAACTAGAAAAAGATTTAACGGATTACTTTGAAAAGGCATAATTGACATTTTTTTGTATTTTCGTTTTCTTTTTTCGTGAGTTTTTAAATTTAATATAGGGGATATTTACCCCATTTCATTTATCCTAATTTTTTTTCTGAAATCAGATTATCTTTTCAAATTTTGTCAGTGCAAAACTTTTTTTAAAATGGAGGCTGTTTCTGTAGAAGAGAAGATAGAAATGATTCTTATTTATGGTGAATGTGGTAGAAATGTTGACGATGCCGTTACACTTTATGCTGAACGTTTTCCGGATAACGTGCGATCTCGAGCATCTTTTTATCGGGTTGTTACACAATTTCTACAAGAGGGAAGTGTGTCTAAGAGAAAAAGAGCCCGTCGAAACCTAGTTACTGGAACTGACAATGAAATTGCTGTATTAGCTGCAGTAAATGTTGACCCTCATGTCAGTACTCGACAAATTGCACGCGATTCTGGAATTTCGCGACGTAGTGTAGGCAGGATATTAAAACGTTATAAATATCATCCCTATCACATTTTGTTGCACCAAGAACTTCATGATAATGATTTTCAGAACCGAGTTATCTTTTGTCAATGGGCATGTCAACAAATACAACAAGATCCTAATTTCTTTGCTAAAGTCCTATTTTCAGACGAGTCCTCTTTTACGAACCACGGCACGGTTAATAGACATAACATGCACTACTGGAGTATTCAAAATCCACATTGGTTACGTGAAGTTGAGCATCAGCGTCAATGGTCTGTGAACGTTTGGTGTGGAATAGTTGGTGACAAGATAGTAGGTCCATACTTCATTGAAGGCAATTTAAACGGCGTAACATATCGTAATTTTTTACAAAATCAACTTCCGCTTTTACTTGAGGACGTACCCTTAAATGTAAGACAACAAATGTGGTTTCAACACGATGGATGTCCATCGCATTACTCCCAAACTGCTCGTGAAGTTTTGGATCGCGAATTCAATGGACGCTGGATCGGTAGAGGGGGTCCAGTAAATTGGCCAGCAAGATCTCCAGACCTTACGTCTCCAGACTTTTATTTATGGGGTTACATAAAGAGCGAAGTTTACAAAGAAGTGCCAACATCTCGTGAAAATATGATGCAACGAATCCGAAATGCTTGTGCCAAAATATCACCTGATGTATTCCGCAGTTGTGTACGATCTATGGAAGTTCGGATCAATAAGTGCATTGAAGTCGAAGGTCGTCAATTTGAGCACTTATTAAATTAAATTAATTTCAAACAGATAAGACAATCATACCAAATTGTGAGAGGCAAGGGGACTCACCTAAAACAAGCACCCCAAAGAGGATAAAAAACTACTACGTCCACGTCGTTATTCCTGGGTAGTGCTAAAAGTAGTTAATAGTTGTACAGTTTTTCAACCTTAAAGTTAAAAAAGGGATTCCAATAAGGTACTCCGTTATCTCAAGATTTTTGTGTTTTTTTGTTTTTTATGGCCAAAATATGGGTTAAATAAAAAAAATAATAAGAACAAAAAGTATTTTTTTTTCGATTTCCAATCGAAATCCGCGGCAAAAAATGGGTGTTTCCATTTAAAAAAACGAATTCTGATCAAAAAACGCCACTTCCGGTCTAAACCGGAAGTTGTAATATGGACCTTTCGATAGCCTCTTTAATGCCCTACAACTTTTGTCTAAAACTTTTTTCAAAATAATCGACTCCAATCGAGATATTATCTTGTCTCAAGATAAATGCCCCACCCTGTATATATATAAATTATTTTTAGATTATTGAAATTGTAGATTGTAAATAATATGTAATATATTTAAATTAAAAATCAAAAGAGAGATATTCTTTTGATCTCATAAATGTATAAGTATTTCATCAATCAAAACATGAATATTTTCCTATATACCTTTCACACAGAGAGAAAAAAATTGATTTTTTTTATAACCACATATATTTAATTGCAGGAAATGCTGGAGC